GCAGAACCATGAGCTAGAGCACAACGGAGTGGTACCCTTCCCCGTTCACAGCTCAAGGGAAGGTGAGGGCTTTGGGACAGGAGTAAAGGTGAGGGCTTTGGGACAGGAGTAAAGGTGAGGGCTTTGGGACAGGAGACCGATTTGTGGAGTGAGTGCCCCATGGTACTTAATTGGAGGGGTGGGCTTGCTGACTTTTGGGTTAAGGCTTAAAGAGAAGTGGCATGTCCTTTGGGCATTTATTAGCAGTCCTGGAAGACCTTTATAACACACATTGACGAACAACTCCATCCTGGGCATTTCTCCCTGAATTTTAACCTGGTAACTTCCACAATAAACCCTTTAATCATGTGTATTGACAGTATGGCCATTGCAATGAATAAGTGAACCTACGATAAAGGTAGAGAGTAGTGCATGTATGACAGAACAGTGACCATTGGGAAGGCGGGGTGAAGGGTGCATGAAACTTTTCTGTACATTATTTTGGAGGGGGTAATTAGCCCTGGGTTGCTAACTGCAAGGTCAGCAGTTCAAAGCCAGCAGTCCCTCCGAGGGAGAAAGATGTGACTGTCTGCTTCTGTAGAAGCTTATGGTCTTGGAAACCCTGTATAAAGGTGCTATGAGTTGGAATTACCTTGATGGCAGTAGGTTTATAACTTATAATTACATAAAAAAACTCTGCCATTGAGTTGATTCTGGCTCAGTAAAAAAAAAAAGTTAAAGTTTAATTCAGAGTAGTAGCAGTATGTATAATATAATGTTGATATTTGGTGAAACTATCCTAAAATATCTCTATAATTTAAGGTGCTCATATATATTTAGTCAGTACTTGAAAAAAAACAAATTCATACACACAATGTTCATGTACTGGGGCACAGCCAAGGGACTTCTATGTTACCAGGGAATGGAACTTTTATTTTTCTGCACCAATGTTAAAAGTCTGAGTATTAATTCATAATAATTAAAAACAAAGAAAAATTAACAATTCACTAAACAAAACAAAGCAAAAACAAGTCTGCCTAGCTTGAGAGGAATAGAGGCAAATATGAAATACATGTCAAATTCATTGGAATAATCTGTTGGAGGTTGGGGGTGGGGTAGGAGAAGAAAACAAAGGTAAAGAGAACAGAATTTTAAAATAGGTTCAGAAAAATCATACCTCTGTATACTTGGATTTGTGCACGCATTTGTGTATGTGTGTGTGTGTGTGTGTATCTAGAGTGCTGAGGGCAGAATTGAGTATATGACAGATGGTAACAGAAATGTAGTAAGATTAGTGAAAGATATTTTGGGAGAATGCTTAAGATACTTGCCAAATCATCTCCTATTGCTTAGAGAGCTATACAAATTCCTATTTGTATAGAGAGCTATACAACTAGAACAGTTATCAGAGAACCTTTCCAAGAGATTAAAATAGAGTTAACCACTTAGCTGTGGTGATTCTGAAGTCAATATTGACAGTGTGTGTGTGTGTGTGTGTGTGTGTGTGAACCAGACGAAGACCCAGGACCCTCGCGCAGTAACTAGAGTGGTTAATAAGGGGGAGAGAAATGGGCTTGTATTCTCTGACAGCCACAAACGGAGAAGTGGCCAAAATGTCCATAGGGGTAGTTTCATACTTTTGTTCCTAGGGCCCTGGAGAGTCTCAATAGATGAACCAGATGATACAGCAAGTAAGGAGTTCAGCACAGAATAAATTACTACGACTAAGCCGACTGTGCTGTGTCCGTTGCAGGAACTATTTATAAACAGAAAAACAAGTAATTCCTTGACTCTGACCTACAGGAAATGAAGTGAAGCAGTCTTTGACTGGAGCATCCAGAAGCTGCCACTTCCCGTTCTTGAGTTCATTTGTAGACTTGTGATGGGTACAAAGGGCTATCTATCCAAAGGTCTGAGGGACTCAAGCTTCAGGGGCCAAATGACTTCAAAGTCTAACAACTCCCCTCAAAAGTATGAATGTTTGAAGACAACCCTTAATGCAAATATAAAATCAGGCTGTATCTCAGTTTTTTTATGTTGTCAATCTATTAAGAATTGCCAACTTCAATTTCCTTTAAGCATAATAGCCAGATACGTCTAATGCATTAAATTGAATGAGCAAACTATTATTTTCCCCTATTAGGAAACAGCTATTCACAGATTAAAAATCTACTGAAAACTACGTGTCAACATTTCCAAACAAAAAAGACTCAAATCTCCTTAAAAAATTGAGACGGGCCAATAGGTTCTTTCACTAAGTTAATCATTAGATTGGTTGGCCACAGTTTTGGAGATTGTGAGTGCTCACTCCAGGTGTTTGAGCACACACCATCTCAGCAGAGGAGGCTTGGAAGACATTTGAGGGCAAGTGCTGGGAAGAGGGGTGGAAAGTTGAGAGGGGTGGAAAGTTGAGCAGACAACTCACAGGGAAGATGGCAAGGCGGGGCGGAAAAATAGCGAGGCGGAGAAAGCACCCAGAGGAGGGGGTGTGGAGACCCTCCCAGGTGCAGAAATTCATTTCACCTCATGCCTCTGCCGCTCCTTACCCAGAGGGGCTGGCCAGGGATCCAGTTCCACACATCTAGCATGAAGGTTCTGGTTCTAGCCTGAAGTTTTAATCCTTTTTTTTAATCCCGGAAATCTGCCTGTGCCCATTTAGGCGACCCCCTGAGTCTATGGCTGAATGTTCTCCATGTACTGTCTGAGGAGTTCTCGCTCGCTCGCTCATTCTAATTAATTAAAACAATTTTTTTGAATTGGGTGAAGGCTTACACTCTCAACAATTCACACATCTTGCTTCATTTCATTCATCACCCTTGCCTCAATGCAGCACCTAGACCTACCTACCCAGCCTCCTTCTGTTTCCTGCCTCCCCTCCCCCTCGCTCCTACACCTCGAGGATGCAGGTGCTGGCCACCCCAATGGCTGACTGTTCTAAAGTGTGTGCTCATCACTAGTGTGAGGATCCCCTGGCTACTGTTTGGCTGAAAATTTAAGTTTGTCCTCTAGTCCACTTAATGTCTGTTTATAACCAATTTGGTAGCATGTGCTGGTATTCTCTGTTCACCTCCCGGTGAGTTTTGTTTCTGCAAGACATTTTTTCTTCCTCGAGCAACTTTTTTTCTTTTTTTCAACCTTTCTGTGTTCCCTTTATTTGATGGACATTTAATCTGAAGATTGTCTAAGGGTGTTTCAGTAGCCCTCAAAATCTGTGTCCCTTACTGGTTTTTCAATGATAATTTTTTTTCTAGTTGACTTCTTTTTCTGGCAAATGTGACATTTTCACTCTGGTGTCCACCTTTTTAAGATGAACTGTTTGGTTGATTTTACAAGATTGCCACCTCCCGGCAGGATGCAAAATGTCATTGCATAATGATCGCTATTAAATAACTATTTACCCATGGATCAAAGGATCCCAATCAGAATAATCATATTCCCAACTAATGAGCTCTTAGGGTATTACCAAGAAGGGCATTTAAAGTTTGTATGTGTAAAGTTTTTGCTACTGTAGCCATTAAAATAACACACACACAAAGCAAAAACCCTACGCGTTCACACACAAAAACATTTCTTCAATGTTCTCCTGGAGAACTTGAAACATAAAAAGTTCTCTTTGAGAAAAAAAAAAAGTTCTTTCTTGAGGACGACGATGACCCAACATCCCAACAGCAGATGCTCCTTCAATGTTCTCCTTACCTGGTAAAGGTCATTTCTCATGTCGATGATGTCCTCAGAAACCAAACCTGCTGTGACTTCGAGCAGATCCCTCACGAGCTGAGCATGCAGGTGGATGATTGCCAAGTGTAAGACGCTAGAACACAGATGAGAGTGACAATCATCAAGGAACGTCATCATCAGCTGCAGTATTCATGATAAACCTCTCGCGGTATGATTAGACTCGCGGGCTTATGCTGGTCCTCCCACTCAGTTTCCGGTGCTGTGGGTAGGAGCCACGGAGTGGCTGGCTCATGAAGAAGGAACATGTGAGGGAGGAACCTTGGCTCCGAAAGACCGGAGTCCATACAATGCTACATTTGAAGTCGGGCATGCTCCAGGCCTGCACACTCACGGACAGTGCCAGTCTGGACTTCAGAAGCATGGTTTCTGGTTCCTTGTGGTAAAAAGGTGCCCAGGCTTCAAGGTCCTGGAGACCCAAGTTCAAATTGCAGCCTCACACAGTATGAGTTTCTCTTCTTGCTTTTCTTTGATTTTCTCTTCCCTGCCACGAGGCATTGTGCAGAAGAGTCTAGTTTCCTCACCAAGCTCTGCTACTCTCCCAAGTCACAAGCATGGTGACAGCAGTGGTGTCAGATCTTTCTCAAGGGGAGAGAGAGAAGGATGGTAGGCTTGTAACTCTTGGGTAAAAAACCTTTGAAGCAAACTTCTGAAGATTGTGTAACTATATGTCTCTTATGCAAATAGTCCTGCTTTGAATATTTTGCTCCTCTTCTCTGTCTGAGGGACGCCTACTCTAGCCTTCACATTCCAGTTCAAACCACCTTTCCCGGGAAGACTTTCCTGGTAGAGTGAGTTGCCTCCTAGTGACCTCTGGAGCAGAATCTGATGCCGGAGCTGTTCATATGGTCTTAGCATGCATTTTAAGCACTGACGTGAGAGGGACAGTCTGAACCTAGTTGGGTTACACTAGCAAAGTTTACAAAAAAAAAAAAAAAAAGCTAACCATACCATTCCTAGGGGCATACATTTTTTAATTGTTAAAAATACTTAATTCTAAAATTAACTGGACGCAAGCCAACAATAGTAAAAAAGTGGCCTCTTTTGTTTACAGCTCCTATTTACCAAATATTATGCAGAACATAATCGTATGATGTAGGTAACATTCTTGTCTTTTCCCCCGAGATGAAAATGTGACTTACAAGTGCAGCATAACTAAGGCCACGTAGCTAGTAACTGGTGAAGCTGGAGTCAAGCCCAGGTCTGTTTAGTACAAAGTCACCTTTTCATCTCTCAAACTATCCTGCTTAAGTTACATACCTGCACTGCTCTACCTCGCTACACACAGGCATTGAAGAGGACGGTGACTGCAGGTTATGTACAGCTTTGAGATGCTGAGCACATTCAAAGTATCCTACAGCAGCAGCTGCGGCACATCTGGGGTTTTTGGCGCAGGCTGGAATTTTTCTAATCTAAAGATATCAAAAACTCTAAAACCAAACTCACTGCCATCAAGTTGATTACGACTCATAGCAGGCCTGGTGGGGTCATGGGGTTACACATTGAGTTGCTATCCAAGAGGTCAGCAGTTTGATGTCACCAGCTGCTCCACGGGAGAGAGATCAGGCTTTCTATTCCTGCAAAGATCTAAAGCCTTGGAAAGCCACATGAGCAGTTACCTCTGTTCTATAGGCCGCTGTGAGTTAAAGATACGAATGCTACTTTATTCAGGTTTCTTTCTTCGTCATAGCAAGTGCAGACAGTGAATTACCCAATGTGGCTCTTCTGGCCAAAGTCTTTGATACTCTCACTGAATGACGCATATATATTTTTTTTCCCTGCATGAGCTTGGGGAAAATGGTGGAGGGAAGGAAGATGTTGACAGGATTAATCTGTAAGTAACTGTCAACAGGATTCGAGCCCTCTGAGAGCTGGAGTGGGATCCCCCTACCAGCGGGAACCAGGAGTGGGGTGAGTCCTTACACAGTGACGCTCCTTGATCCAGAAGACAGCTTTGACACCAGAGTAGCACCACCACATCAGTAGAACCAAGATCCAGAGCATGAGACAGAAAAGTGGACTCCCTGCTCACAGAGCTAGTAAAGCTTGAGTGCAGGAGGTTTGCTCACCGAGTGGGGTGCCTGTGGGCACTTATTGGGGGAGCTGGGCTTTCTGACCCACGGAGCTGGAGCTAAGTGCTTTGGGGCTGTGCTTTTGTGCATGCCCTCTGGGCATTTATCAGCAGTCCTGAAAGAACTTTGTAAACACATCCTGACTTAATAACTGTATCGGGGCATTTCTCATTTGCATGCTAACTTCTTTAATAAAGCCATTAATCATGAATATGGTCTGGGAGTTCTGTGTTCTTATAATTCATTCTATTGCAATGAACTATAAACCCTAGATATAAAAGTTGAGAGTGTTATGCAAAACACGTACACAAGTATATGAGGGGGCTTAAAAAGTTGGTACAAAATGGAATTAAAAGATGGTTTTTTTTCTCATCAACTTTTTGAAGCCCCCTCCTATTTTATTTGGAATTAGCATAGGCTCAGCAGGACATGTGTTTGCCTGTGTGTGTGTGTGTGTGTGTGTGTGTGTGTGTAAGCCTATTACTAATTCTTTGCTTGAGAGATATTCACAATGATGACAAGATTTCACTACTGTCTGTTAAAATGCAATGTTCAAAAATTGAGGTGGACCATGTGCCTAAAACCCAACACAGACATAATGCTAAGGTACCAGGGAAAATGTGGTCATCCCCAAACTGCCTCGAAATGTTCACGTGCACCTTAGCTTTTCATAGCAGAAGCTGGTTCGCTTCCCTGCCCCGTGAATCTTCACACCCTCAGGGGGAGTTTCCCCAATAACAAAAATTTTAACATAAGTTTTATTTTTTAAAATGTTTTCTGTGATGACTAATGGTCACAGGATGAAAAATTCAGTGAAAGAGAGAGCTGAGCTGTGGTGGCCAAGAGCTGCCCGTCCACACTCTTACTGAGACTTGCCAGTCTCCTCCTCAGATCTCACTCCCTCTCCTGCCTCTAGCTTTGTCAAGCCCACAACCCTCTTGCGAGAGCGTGTTTGGAGTCTTGAAAGGGGCTCTAAGAATTCATTCTGTTTGTGCAAGGAAAGCCCGTTCCTTGGCTCTTGCCTATACCCGGGTCTTAACACTTGTACCCACTTTCCCCTCTGATGGGTACCCAGTTGATAGCATGTATCCTCTTTTTCTTTCTCCAATCCTCCCTGCAAACACCAGCAGCCACTTTCTACTCTGTACGTGCTTGTCTTTCGTAGACTCCTCCATTCAGTAAGTCCTTCAACATGTCACTTGTTCCTGTCTTGGTTAACTCCTTTCTCTTGTGGGCACATGCTGTTGAAAACGAACTGGATTATTTACCCTGGGGGTGGGGGTGGGGGAGAAAAACCTTCTGCTATTCATGGCATCACCCAAAGAAGGCTGTACACACCAGTTCCTCTGGAACTGTCTCACAAGGCCAGTGGTTATACCACATCCTTGGTTACGCTGCAAGGAGTGAGTACAAAGGTCTCTGCTTGAAACCTTGAGGTTGGCTCTTTCCTAAAGCATTTGGTTCACGTTTTCAGCTGGGGTTTAAAAACCAGCACTCCGGCACTCTTCCACAGAAAAGGATTTCTCAGAGCTGCCACTATTTTCAGCAGGTTTTGGATAAGGCGTCTCACTTGAATCTGAAGGCTGCTGCCTCTTGTTTTGACAGACATTTGAGATCCTTTTAGACATCTCAATTAAAGGCCTACAAGGACCATTTTAGAAAGAAGTCAGGTGGCTTTTCAAATCTGCTCTCAGCTAATAGCAGGAATGGAAGGCATGGTGTTTGGAATTTTAGACTCCCACATAACATGGGCAGGAGCTGTCACCAGAGTTCGTTCCAGTTACAGACCAGTAACGGTTATTAGAAGCCATGAATAAGGAACCAGTAGTTGGGAAATAAACACAATTACTTCTTGTTTTTTCTCTTTTTTTTAATAGTACACTATATTACAAACCCATTTTTGTCATTTTGGGGGGAGGGACTACTGTGATGACTTGCATATTACTTTGATCCTAAAAGTGATACTCTCAGCATTTCCAGCATCAGTAGGGTCACCTATGGTAAATAGGCTTTAGTGGAGTTTCCAGACTAAGTTAGATGAGGAAGGAAGGTCTGGTAATCTAATAAAATTAACAAATGCAAACCTTATGAATCAGAAGAGGATGCTGTCTGAAATAGCCTGCTGGGCCAGAAGGCACTACACAGCCACTGCAACAGGCTCCAACACACCAGTGGTTAGGAAGCTGGTGCGGGACCGGGCCTCCTTTCGTTTTCTTACACACATGGTTACTATGAGTCAGGGATGAAGCCAAACAGCACCAGATGACAAAGACGTTGTTTGGGTAACAGCCCTTCTGGGATTTGATTAGGACCCTTCAACCACTCAAGAGTCTAAAAGGCGATGGCAAAAATGTTGAGAAGCAAATGATGCTACATTACCGTATTCCACTTACAAGACCTAATAGTTTGCCAGTTCTTTTAATCATGACCAAGGCGCTGTATACGATGCTGTTCTCTCTTGCTTAACTCAAACCAACCCTTGTCACACAGAAGTCCTGACTCACCTGTCCCCATTTTCGTCCTGCACGGCAGTAAGATGGCGCTGGACAGCCAGCAGCATCTTCACGTCTCCTGTTACCGCATAGTCAAAAAGGGCATTGGCGTGCCGCTTGGCAAGTTGCATAGCTTTCTCCAGAAAGAGGTTGTCTGCAAGACAATGAGTGGGATCAACGTTGAGTTTCCCATCCTTGCTCTGCAGTGACAACATCCTCAAGTCAATGACCATCGGGATCCCTGTCCTGACTCCTGAACACATCAGTTTAGTTGAAAATGCTCCTTTCAGTAATTCAGGATTGTGTTCACTAGAACAGGCTGGATATTGACTTACTCACAGATATAGTTACGGACTGATTTGAAAATTTCTGTCCATGGCTTGTTAAGAAGGAAAAGTTCATAAATATCTGGCATCTTAAGGGAAGATGAATAGTTCCCAGATAGTGGACTGAATTTTGCTGTAATTTTCGATAACCATTCTCTTGGGGAAATAGGCCTTAAGTACCAAAGGAGCTCCAGACAACAACCTCGACGTCACCCGAGTCACTGGCGTGTTTATAAAATCGGTTTCCTTAAGAACAGCAGTTGGCAAAGTAGGGTCTATGCAGCAAATTTGGTGCATGACCTGTTTTTTTTTAAAAAGCAATTTTATTGACATATAATTTATGTAGCATATAATTTAATGGCGTGACTATGTTAAACTAGCAGCCACTCTGAGGGAGAGAGATCAGGTTGTCTGTTCATGTAAAGATTCAGTCTCCGAAACCCAAAGGGCATTTCTGCTCTGTCCCGTTGGGTCACTGGGGAAGGACATCATGCATGGTAAAGCAGAGAGGCACTGACAAAGAGGAAGGCCCTTGACAAGATGGATTGACACAATGGCTGCAACACAGGGCTCAAACCTAAGATCCATTGTGAGGATGGACCAGGCCCAGGCAGGGTTTCGTTGGGTTGGGCAGAGGGGGCTAAGAGTCTGAACGGATGCAATAGCACCCAACAACAGCAGGGGCCGTATGAATTGGGATTGACTCAATGGCAGTGAGCTGAGCTGAGGACAATTCAGAAAGAGGACAATTCATGACACACAATCTAATAGAACTGGATCAAAGTGCACACAAAAGGACATGGCCCATCTGAACCCCAATTCTCTATAAAGAGAGTGACTGACAGGGAACCGGGGGGAAAAAAAAAGGTTCCTCTTTTTTTTTTTTTTTGTGGCTAAGTTGCAATTGGCTAGGACCATCAAGTTAGACTGTAGGGGAGGGTGACTACTGAAGTTGGGAAAACTGTTCTATACTACGAGGACCAGAAACACAGTAGATTATTCTCATTGTAGGCAACAATGGTGTGCTCGTGAATGCCCAGCCTGTGTGTAAATTTCTGTACTTTATGTTCCAAGATATATCTGAGAAAATGGAAATCCCAATGTGACTACAATGACCAGACACATGCTTCTTAAAGGACATATAAAAACCACTAGGCTTTTAAAGGGCATATTGCACTAGGTATTGATGTGTGATCTTTAGATTAAACAGAAAAAAAACCTGTCTTCTAGAAATATCTTTCTATATCTACAATGGGCTCCCCTTCCCACCCCCAGCCAATAGGGTATAATCACTTTGGGATCACTTACCCTGAAACCTACAGTTCTCATCCTTTACATCGACTGTATACGCCAGCGTCACCCCAGCAGTCCCTTTGCTGGACTCCTTATCTTGCTCTGTGGTTTCGATGACTTTCCCAGAAAGATTTTCTTTTTCATCACAACCTTCATGGCCATTTTTAGAGGGGGTGCCTATGGGTCCTAAGACAAATGCAAAAACATTAGCCTTTTTCCTGTTAGGTCTACTAACTGAGTTATTAGTCATGACCTTGGTGAAGAGTCAGCTCTAAGTATAAATAGAAAGTAAGTTCATTGCAAAGAGAAAAGGAAAAAGATTTTAAATTCTTTTTCTTGGACATGACCATGGGACAAGTAACCTGTTTTGTAGTTAGAGTGAAAGTGAAAAATTCATCGTCGTTGAAGGTACGGCAGTTTAGTTTTTTTCCCTAATGCCAATGAATAGATCAAATGGAGAAGACATAGTCTCATGCCACATTCTTAGTGTGTGAAATCTCCTGAGCACCTTTCGGATCACCCTCTTCTGGGTCTGCCCAGGTTGTCTCCCAGGCCTTCTGCGTGCATTTCCGCAGGAAGGGCACATCTAGTGCAAACCTTGCTTCCGCCACTGACAAGCATGTACCTTCGGCAAGGAATGAATACCCTCCACCCCGTCCCCCAGAATCTCAATGTCTTCTGTCTAGAAATATATATATTTTACTCTGAAAGCAATCATGAAGATTACAATGAAAACACATCCAAATACTTGGCATAAAGCAGAAATTCCATAAACAGCAATCTTTATTGTATCATTTCGCCGACGAGTACACTACAATGGGCATGCACCATACACTAGGAAGAGAGATGGCAAGAACTGCTGGTCCAGGGCGCATTTGAAGGGGGAAAGACCAACCCTATGAAACTCAAAAAGACTTCAGAAGCATGTGAGCAAAAGGAGCAGGAACAGAAAGCTTTGGTGTTTAAAAAAAAAAAAAAAAAAAGCTATTCTTGCACAGTCAACGATCTCTATGCCCCTTAGTAATGCTTGTATAAACCTCCTGCCAGGCATTTAGAAACAAATACATAGATATGAGCACAGCATCTAAAATGGAGTTCATACCCTCCCCTAGAAGATAATGATGCTTTGGAAATGCACCTTCTTATTTATCAGCATTAGTCAATAACTTCAAAATGGTAATGCTGTTGTGACAAGTACTGATTAAAAAACATAAACAAAAAGTGAAGCTGAAACATTTTCCATGAGTCAGAACCAACTCATCAGCAACTGGTTCCCGTCACCCACTGGGGACAAAGTGAGTGAGAATGGTTTCCTGATGTAAAAGAGAGGGTGGCCCAACTGACGTCACCCTCTGGGGACACAGTGAATGAGAGAATGGTTTCCTGATGTAAAAGAGAGGGTGGCCTAACTGATAACAATCTTGTCTTAATCAAAAAACCCTTGTTCAGAATTAAAACCCAACCCCAAATAATGAGTTACCGTGCTTCATCCCAGCGTTAGATTTAGTGGTTCCAGAATGGAAGGTGATTCCACTGTATGGAGGGAATCCATAGGCCGGGAAGCCATATCCTGCAAGGACAAACAGAATGAATGAGACACCGAGGAATTGTTTTTACTATTAACTGGGAGTTAATCCATATCTCACATCATTGCATAGTTCAATAGTCCTGGTTTCCACATTTTCTGTATTTTTGCTTTGCGTGTGCTCATTTGTGTTAGGGTGTACCTCAAAGGTGTTATGGCATCGGCGGAGGTCACCCTCGTGAAGTTGTGTGATCTTTGACTGGGTTTCGGTTATGAAACTCAGGATTGATTAACCTACAGGCACAGCAAGTAGGACAGGGCTTTGGAGGGTGGGGGTGGGGTGAGTACAGTGGCGATTTCTCAAGTCACTTCAAACCCCCGTAGTCCTGGGCCTGCGTGTGGGAGGGTTCTGTGTCTGTCCCCGGCAGGCTTCTGGTGAGTTAAGACATCATGGAGGGTTGTGAGACCATCAGAATATGGCGGGGTGGGGTGGTGGGGTGGGGGAGAGCACAATTTACACGTAGACCAATTCATGCTGGAGAAAATCATCCAGTCTTGTGCTAAAGGGGCAGGTTAACCGTGAGTGGTCACCCCTCAAACTCCGACTTGTTACCCAAGAGATCGTATAATGATGACTGAGGAGCAAAGCAAAGCGACTAATCCAACACTGAAGACATTCAAGCACACAACTCAGAAAAACTTCTAAATGAAGTAATGGCCACTACGGTCCATTCCCTTAGGTTCTTTGGGGTGGGGGTGGGAGAGTATAAATTGGTAGGACTCTTTGGGGAAGGAGCTGAAAGCAGACACCATACCCTTTGGCACAGTAATTGTATCTCCAAGAACTTAATTTACAAAGATAATCTGAAATAAAAGAAAAGCTATGTGGATAGAGGAGTTCAGAAGAGCATTTTACACAGATAATAAAAAAAATCACATTCATCAAGTGATAATAGGGTTTGGTTCACTGGATGAAATATTATGAATCATTACAAATAATGCTTATATAAAGTTTAAACTCCTGAGGGGGAATGGGTTCATAAAATGTTAGGAGAAAGGAGCATATAAGTTCTACTACGCACACTCACAGTACAATGATGATAAACGGCTAATACAAGACATGGAGTAAAATGCTGCACACAGGGATGGTCACAGTTGTACTCCAGGGAAATGCATAAATAGATAATCTATGCACAGAAAATAACTGGAAGTGGTTACCCTTGGATGGTAGGATTTTATGTATTTTCAAAATGGTACAACATACACTATATAATCTGACCTCTACAATACAGAATTGCCCCTGTGAGCTTCTGTAAATCTTTACAAGAGCAGAAAGCCTCATCTTCCCCCACCCATGGGTGACTGGTGGGTTTGTCCAGCACCCAATAACCCAAAATTCGAAAATTCTCCCATCCAGTCCAAAATGTCCAGAAACACAAAGGACTTAGAACATGCAATCCATAAGGTGGATGAAAACATTCAACAAAAAATACCCAGGAATTAAACAGAGGACAGTGTTTAAAAATATGTGCCAAGCATTCAAAAACAAAAACAAAAACAAAATAGACCATAGAAAACTCAAAACAAATAAGCAAAATACCAAAATAATCCCTGAAAACCAAAGTAAAGGAGATAGTTAGCTTTGGGTGCCGTTCCCCCCCACTCCTTTAGGTTTCTGGTATTGTCTGCATACTGTAAAACGAATATGCATTTCTTTGAAAATAAACATGTATGTATTTGTTGAATTAACTTTATTTTAATATATCATTCAGTCATGTCACACCCTCTCAACTCAGACATGTTCGTAAACCCAATGGAAGGGAGAGGAGAGGGGTTCTACTTCTGCAACACATAAAAACGTTAGCAAGCGCGGACTTCCTTCTTACCTGGTCCAGTACTTCCAGTGCCCCCTCCTCCACCGCCACTACCAAACATGCCTCCACCTCCAGCTCCAGCACCGCTACCACCACCGAAACTATCCGAAAAATTGGGCATGAGCTTCTGCCGTTTCCTCTGCACTTCCTCTTTATCTGTATTTAAAGAGAGGCAGGCCCAGAAGGAAGTGAAACCAGAGGAAAAGAGATTGATTCCGTTGTACGACTGGTCACAGAAAGAATATTGAATCTGGTGATATTTTTAGCCACTTAAGGAGGAAGAGACGCCCAATTTCAAGAAGTTTTATTTTTATTCCGATGGGCAACTAGACTGAGAACCAGCCTCAGAGAGACCACAGAACAGTACACGCCCCAAACAGTTACATTCCCAATGTTGCGACAATTACCAGGAGACTAGATTGCCCATCGAAGAGTACTGGAGAAGACCAAAGGGCATGTTCCCCTTGGTCAGAGAAATCAACGATGAATAATCACCTAACATTTATTTGTGCATTTACTACGAGCCAACGGGGCCCTGGTGGCCACTTTATGTGTTGGATTGCTAACCACGGGGTTAATAGTTTGAACTCACTAGCCACTATGTGGGAGAAAGATGAGGCTTTCTGCACCCATAAAGATTTACATCCTTGAAAACCAACATGGGGCCAGTTCTACTCTGTCCTATGGTGTTGCTATGCATCAGAATGGGTTTGAGGGCAGTGAGTTTGGTTTGGGGTTGATTATGAGCCAGGAGGCCCAGCGTGGTACTCAGCAAAGAACTGAGAGGCTGGGTGCAGGTTGGAGAGGCCCCCCCACCCCCAAGAGCAGCTGAAGAAAACCTGGTATCTGCCTCTGAGAAATCAGCCATCCACCCCTGTGGAGTAGTCTACAGAGAAACACATGGGGTCATGAAGAGTTGGCATTGACTGGTTTCTGCTAAGTACGTGCTTGGGATAAAGAGAAGCCTGATGCGAGGTTTTTGGTGTCAGGAGCATTCTTTCTTAAGGCCGTGAAGGAAAGATTTAGCGAGAGCGCATGCTAAGGCTATGAAATGTTAAATTCCTTGTGCAGACCAGTGTTCTAGGAATTCAGGGAGGTTTTCTAGGCAGTCCAGGTGGAGTGGGGAATTCAGGAAACGCTTCCAAGGACTGGCTTCCCGGGATCAACTTTCTATGTGGAGGGGGAAGGAGGTGGATGCTCCGTGGAATGGTTATGGCAGAAAATAAGGCATATGGGGAGCTTAAGAGAAGAGTGGTAGATCATGTAAGCGGAAACGAAAGCTCAGTCAGTATGGGAAACACACTGTGCAGGGCTTGGAAGAGAAAACGAAGAACCTAATTGGTAGGCAGCAGAAGCACTGAATGTTTCTGAAGCGGAGAATGAAGTGGGCAGAGGGTCCCTGGTGAAGGATGCTGTAAGTTGCAGTGCAGGTGATTCCTACTCACCACGATCCCAGGTGCTGTTTCGAGCCGAGCCAGGCTCCCCAGGGTTTTCAAGGGTGCAATATTAACAGAAGCAGGCCCCCAGGCTTTTCTTTCACAGCACCACTAGATGGGTCTGAGTCACCACCCTTCTCGTTTGCAGTCAAGTGCAAACCCAGGGACCTTCTAATTGGTGCATCCAGCCCAAACCCCACTCGCTGCTAGGGAGTCAATTCCAACTCAGAGCAACCCTCTGGAGGGTTTCTGATGCTTCGAATCTTTACAGAAGCAGCTAGCCTCAATTCTATCCTGAGGGGCGGCTGAGGGTTTTGAACTGCAAATCACACAGTTAGCAGTCCAGCGCCAGCAGGGCTCCTTCATTGGTGCACAGCAGATACTACAGAAGGGCCAAAGCGAGGTACTACAGACAGGACATGATGCGGCTTGTTCCTCAGTAGTTGGCATGATAATAAGTCAGACCCCAAAGCACAATGAATGAGGACCCTGGAGGCTTTGGTGAGTGCTGAAATATGGAACCTTGAAAGTCTGAGGCAGCCACTTTCGTAACACACAGCGATGTGGTGTGAGACTGTCTTCTCTCCTTCCTCGTGTGACTGCTCGTGTTCTCATGCAGCCATTTGGCTTTCCTTCGCACCAGACCTAGTACCCCTTCTTAGTTCTCTCACGGTCTCTGTGGCTTATGACTGAGTCCTAAGGTTTTCTTCTGCCAGCCCTTTCTTTCTCTTCCTAGCAGACGAGGGAAAAGAGAAAAAAATGTTGCTA